TCTGGAACTTTGACATGCTCCCCACTCATTAATGCAAATTTACATACACACATGCACATAACACATGAAAATGGAAAAAAGTGTAATGGGTTTTCATCACTTTTTAAAGATATATTTACTTATTATGTATACAGTGTTCTGCCTGCATATATGCATGCAGGCCAGAGAGAATGTCAGATCTCTATAAATGGTTTGAGCCATCATATGGTTGCTGCGAATTGAATTCAAGACCTCTGGAAGAGCAGTCAGCAGTCTTAACCTCTGAGCCATATTTCCAGCCCGGTGTCTCTTCTGGGAGAATTTTATATCTTGACTCAACTTCCTGCTCAGTGACAAGCACGCTAGCAAACGCACAGTGCTTATTCTGTACTGCACACAACTGTGAGCACCTGGCATGTCATCCCGTGAAGCAGTATCACCACTCGGGAAGTTGGTTGTGTTGCCGTTGCCATCAGACATGAGGACGCTGGAGTAAAAGGAGATTAAGGGGTTTGCTCAAATCTACAGAGTGGGTAGGTAGGTGGTGGCCCAGAAATTTACATCCTCAGCCTTCCTCTCTTGTCAGAAAGTTTGAAGTAGGCTTTTCTTAGCAGAGGCATGGGCTTTGGGAAGCTGGGGGTATATCGCTAAGACTCGTGGCTTCCCAGCGGTGCCAGTGGAGGCAGAAACAGCAAGTATAACATGGCCTGGGTCCACTGGGATGGCATGGCTGCCCTTCTATGCCCAGGCCTGTTCCCTGCAGTGTTTGCCAGCTTCTGGGGGTGCCTAAAGAGTAAAAGTCCTAATGCATGTCTCCGTTGCATCTATGTAGTTACAAACACTCCCCTTTCCCTCTCGTGGGGGAATAAATAAACAGCTCCACTGGCCATGTGCTAATAATTTATCTTCTATTATAAAATGGCCTTTGAATTTGCAGCTAAGGATGTGCCTGGTGTGAAGGATTCAGGCCCCTTCCTTCCCACCTTGCGCCTCCCACCTCTTGTCTGCAATTTTACCTCGGATCTCTGAAAATAGAAGATAATGATTGCAATCCTGAGCACAGCGTTGTCCTTCTTCCTGGAATATTCATTTTTCCCCCCTCAATGTTGATTCCTTCCAGATATCATGCTGTATCGCAGCCTTCGGCCCTGGGTTACAGTTTCTCTTAACTTTTCGGCTTTGACTTTGAGAACTATCTGCCAATGATTTGTGAGATCCGTCCCAGCTGAGGCTTAGTTCAGTGACTGCCACATGGTAAACTTCAACAATATTATTGAAAAGTCTGTGTGAGGTTTGGGGGAATGGCTTGGTACAACTCAAAGACCTAAGTTCAAGTCCTAGCCCTCACCTCAGCTAGATAGCGTGTGCTCCTGTGAGAAATGAGTTTTTGATTTGTTTGTCAAAGGTAATCAGTCAAACAAGAACTCATTTCCTGAACCCTCCCTTCTGGCTTTGTGTGGATTAGATGCCGTCAACATCTACCTCAGGGATAAAAGACAGGAGCCATGTTGGTCTTGGTATGCATGTGTTGCTGGCCAGTTTGGGTTCAGGCATACCCTTACTGCAAAGGGAGTTGCCTAACTGAGCTCCTCTTTGCTTTGTTTGTGTGTCTTTGTGTGATACTGAGATTATTAATTTTTTTAAAATTTACTTATTTTGTGTGGATGAGTGGTTTCCCTGCATGCATTCCTCTTTGTCACCTGTGTGCAGTGCCTTCAAAGGCCAGACAAGGGTATTAGATCTCTTGGAACTAGAGTTGCAGACAATTGTGAGCCATCATGTGGGTAGTAGGATTTGAACCCAGGTACTATGGAGGAATAACTAGTGCTCTTAGCTGCTGACTTATCTTTCTAGCCTCAACACCAGTGTTATAGTCTCTGTTTCTCACAATTCTATTCCAGTGCTAGGAAGGTAAAGGCAAGAGGATTCCTGGGACTCATTGGACGGCCTGTCGTGGGTGAGCTGCTCTTGGCCAATGAGAGCTGCTGTCTCAAAGGAGGTGGATGGTGTTCCTGAGGATGCTACTAGAGGTTGTCCTCCAGCCTCTCCATGTACATATGCATGCATGCATGCATGTACACACATACACATCTATGCACATGTACAAAGAAAACTCTCTATGAATGAGTTCTAGAATGCACTTTTAAGGCCTGGGGGGTAGCTCAGATGGTAGTCTGCTGGCCTAGCGTTCGTGAAGACACAGCTTTCTATCCAGCACCACAGAAACTGGGTGTGGTGGCACAAGTCTGCAATGCTAGCCCTTGGGAAGCAGAGGTGGCTAGATCAGAGAGGCTATTCAAGGCTATTCTTAGATACATAGTGAATCTAAGGTTAGCCTGGAATACATGTGACCCTGTTCAAAAAAATGTAATTTTTATAGAATTGCTGCTGAAGTTTAATTCTCTGAAGATTTTCATTTTCATATCTTGACTTTAAACTTGAAAGAATCTTTTTATGGGTCCGGATAATGGAATTCAAGCCAGGAGAGGACCTTAAGTAGCACTAGGCCATTCATACCTTTGGTGAGAAGACCTCGCTGTAAATAGAGTGTTACCATGCACTGGGTAACTTCTACTCATTACTGATTTAACAGCAGGCATCATCTCCTCTGTAAGGCAGGAAACCAAAGCCAGACGTCAAATGAAAGAATCAGGGTCCAGCCAGTCTGTTATGGTTTAAGTAAAATGCTGTAGGTTCCCCCGAGGGGTGCAATGGCAGAAACACTGCAGGTCCCTGAGTGGCAGCAATGGGCAGCGGGCCACGAGACCACAGCAGGCCATGCTGCAGGTCCCAAGTGGCGGCCGTGGGCAGCAGGTCCCGAGACCATGCAGCAGGTCTCCGAAGTGGCAGCAGACAGTGGGCAGCGGGTCCCAAGAGCAGCCAATCCCAGGCAGGGACTGCACAGTTCGCTGGAGTAGCTCCAGTGGGCCACAGAGTCCCAGGCAAGGAGCTACGTGGTGGGTGAGAGACCTCCATGGGGCAGCCAGTCCCACGAGGAGAGAGAGAGAGACAGACAGATGGATGGGCACACCATGAGACCACACCACAGCTCTCCAAAGACAGCAGGTCCCGGCAGGGAGCCACAGGATGGACGAGAGACACTCTGCATAGGCACACCATGCAGAGTGAGGTTGGATATTTATTTAGTGGGCTATGGGGAGGAAAGGGGGAAAGGGGAGAAGAGGTGGACAGAGGAGGGAGTGGGCCTGGCTTGTCTCTTAAAGAGACAGAGCAGACCATTACACAGTGTCCTTGTCCAGCTCCTCTGAGAACCTGCCAAATGATCAAGCAAATGAGTCTATGTTGTGCGCTAAGATTTACGTTGGAGGGTGGGTGAAATGACACAGAGGATGGAGATGCCTGCCATCAAGCCTAAAAAAATCTGGCAACCACAACCCCTGGACCTGTTGACATGGTCAAAGGAGAGAACTTACTCCTACAAGTTGTCCTTTGACCTCTTCCTGCTTCAGGAACAATTCTGAAAGTCCTACAATCTGTGGGCTACTTGTGCCAACAAAGGTTCGCTCATTGACCAAACTCTAGCCAGGCTCCTCTCAGATTTCTGCTTTACTGGGCCTCAGTCTTGGCCCTTAGACACTTGAACAAACACACATTTTCTCACAGCGCAAGGTTTAATTGCTGGAATGACCCTGTTTTTCTTCAAAATACCTGGCTGGGAAAGCTCAGTTTCCAAAAAGGGTCACTGTTTGTTCCAGCTACCACCTGAAGATAGAGTCCCTGTCCCCTGTTTTCCAGTCTTGGTGAGGGGGGGAAGGGAAGAGTAGGAGTCTCACTTGATAAGGCATAAGTGCCAGTTAGCAAACTGGATGGAATTCACGTGGAGCAAAGACCTTCTGCTTCTAATGATTTCCCATGCTTCTGACTCACCCCTCCCACTCTCTCTTCTCCCACCCCATCACCTCTGCCCACATCTTACAGAACTCAGCTCTTTCTCTGCCCTTGGCAGCCATAGAATACAGTCTATTTTGGTGCCTTCGCTGATGTCCAGCTGTGTCTGCCTTTGTCACACACGTCGATCCAGTCAGTCCTGTGGCCCTTGAGTTCCTTGTTTTCAGAGCAAGGACTTCTTTGCATTCACTTTGCAGTTCATGGAGTTGTACATTTAAGGTTTGAGTGATTTTCCTGTCTGCATTTTAATCTTTAATGTAAAAGTTGATACCAGAATAAGCCCTGGAAAATCCTGATGAAGGATAATTTCAGAGTCGCAAGCAGAAAAGGCTGCATACCCTGACATGCAATGACAAACACACAAACATGCATAAAGACTGGGAGCACAAAGGAACAGAAATCTGGTGCAATTAGAGGTGCTAATATTCCAGGTTTTCCTTTTAAAAAGACTCTGTCTGTGGGCTTGGGAGATCAGTTGGTAGAGTTCTTGCCTAGTGTTCTGGGTTCCATCCCAAGCCCTGCATAAACTAGGTGTGGTAGCACATGCCTAGAATTCCAGCACTTGGGAGGTGGAAGCTGGAGGATCAGAAGGTCACATTTTCTAGAATTTCCACCTATGAAGTCATGGATCATATCCTTTTTAAAGCACCCTTTCTTTCATCCAGTGTAATTATTCGGGAGTCAGTGCACACAGCACATGGGCAGCAGCTAACTCTTCCTTATCTTTATGTATTTCTGTTCATATGCAGAAATATAAAACTTGGAATTGTTCAGATATCTTTTCCTATTCTGTTTTGGGGGTGTGACTGCTCCTTCACACAGGGGCAAAAGCTACATTTGCATCAGTTTATTTGAGGACCCAGTGCAGAATTCAAGCAAAAGCCCAACTTAGCATATCCATTTCTTAACTTGAGGGGAAAAGAACAAAGATCCACTGCAGATGAGTGAACTATGACACAATCAATGCTCTTTCCAAAATGTTTGCCTTCTGCAACTGTAGTTACATGGATGCCTACTTTAGGCCATTTTACATGTCTATCTCTGTGTGTGTGTGTGTGTGTGTGTGTGTGTGTGTGTGTGTGTGTGTGAAATATATCAGCACACTTTTCAAAAAAAATATGGACTACTTCACAAATTTGAGTGTCATCCTTGCACAGGAGCCAAGCTAATCTTCTTTGTTTTGTTCCAATTTTAGTGTGCTGCCAAAGCGAGCACAGCTTGCTGCTTTTTGTTGAAAGGCGGTGGGACTACACGTACAGCGATAACCCAGTTCACTTATGCACTTACCAGCAGACTGGATTCTTCTAGTTTCAACCTCTGCACACGAAACTGCTACATTTCTTGTCTAAATGTCTATAATTTCTCTTAGAAATTATAGCTAGAAGTGGAATTGCAGAGTTATTTCCTTGTATTTAATTGTGCTCCAAAGGGCAGCGTTTCTCCTGCCCACCACCATTGTGTAACAGTTTCAATTCCTCTGTGTAGCTGCCACCATTGGCCTTCTCTTGACAGCCACCCCAGGAGGTAGGAACTGGATTTCACTGAGGTTCTGCTTTGCACTTCCTCTGGGAGCTGATGCTGTGATGCAATTTATACATCTTTTCCTTAACTATGAGTGATCTTTTTTTTAAAAAATGAAGCCATACTTTATGTATAGCAATACAGTTTACACATTAATAAAACTATATAGTAACACAAAGGTTACTTTTTCTAAGTGGGTCAATGCAAAAATATATTCAGTGGTTACTCATGTCTAATTCTTATTGCACTGATGGTCAATAGAATTATAAAAGAATGCATGGCAGTGGTGCACGCCTTTAATCCCAGCACTTGGGAGGCAGAGGCAGCTGGAACTCCGAGTTCAAGACCAGCCTGGTCTACGAGCATGTTCCAGGACAGGCAGGGTACACAGAGAAACACCCTGTCTCCAAAGAAAGAAAGAAAGAAAGAAAGAAAGAAAGAAAGAAAGAAAGAAAG